GAATTCCGAAACGGAGCCGACCCACCCGTTCGCAATTCCGAAACGGAATCTCGGAGCAAAATATCGTATGTATCTGGCCGACCTAAAAGTTGTAATATGTTTGTGGTTCAAATTTTATTTTTTGCAAAATTTTTAGTTTTTTATAAAAGATAAATGTATTGAAATGAATGTGCAACCCTAATTAGTATTGTTGTAAATATGGTTAAACCTTTTAAACGAGATTAATTACGATCAGTCGTCTTCATGAGTCGTAAAATATAAGAGAATCCTTAGCAAAGTAAGAAGAAATACAATTTTCCTTAAAATTTATTAGAACAGAAATAAATGTTCGATCCATCGGGAAATACAAACGTGTGATTTATAAACAAACAACTTTAATTACTGCAAAATGATTAACGTTGTGGCCACGACATGACCAGGCGGAACAAATCACTCCATATTTTTAACTGGAAAAACATCTGTGTATGTCGGTGGTTTTCCTGCATCAAATGCATGTAACTTTGAAAATAATTTTTGTTATATTAAAAATTCTACCTGAAATATTCAAATTACCCGACTAATTGTGACTACCGGTGACTATATAATGTTTTTTTTATTTAAGTACAATTGACAAACGAGCATACTGTTCACCTGATAGACAGTGGAAGCTGTAACTCATACACATTAACATTATCCTAGATTATGAATTAAAACACAGATGCGATGACTACAGTGAAATGCTTCGTTACCAGTGAAAAGAGAGACAAGACATAATATCATCATCAGCAGCTCATAAGAATTCATAAGTGGATATCTAACTCTCCTATGCTGGAGAGAATTTGTCAAGTGTATCATTTCTCAGAATCGCCTCTTACGCCAAATGCTGGACGGAATGGAAATAAAATTATCTTACTCTTTGGTATAAACAATGAAACATTAACTTTTAGAGAAAAAATTTAAATGGTTTGTCGAAGTGAGCTTGAAGCGACAGTAGCCTAATGGCAGGGCGCGGATCGCGAACTTAAAAGGTCGTGGGTTCGAATCCGCCATTTGACTACTGTAGTGAACCACTCCTAACACAAGCGTTTCAGTTGTGGTTAAAAGGAATATTAGTAATGTTAATTAATAAGATTACTAAGATTTTTTTAAAAAGAAAAGAAAGCTATCATGGCAGCTAAGAATTCAAAGATTGTAGCTACCAAAACATTTAATTACTAATGTGTTCGACCGCTAAAGGTCGCAAAGCAGCCTTTAAAAATCATTAAGGATTTTAATATTTAATATTACAACTTAAAATCCTAAATATTACGCCACTAAAATAACCGCTCGCGGAATTCCACCTGTTCGTTGTTGACGTCCATCGTTTTACCTCTGCCTCTTGTTATTTAAACAATATCAGGAAACTATAAATAATTTACAAACCTCTTTGTGCTAAATTTCAAGATATTATATATTTTTGTTTCTGCTTTTAAAATCATAATCGATTTTCATTTCGACACTTCGCCATTTTATGAAGTGTCTGTCTACAGAATAGAATTAAAGTATTCAAGAGTTTATTTACTCAGTTTTATATTCAAAGTTATATTTATCGCTTAGTAACCTTTCACAGGCATTGACAGAAAACATTTTAGGCACTTACTTACAAAATAATTTTAACAACAATATATTCCTCAGACAACAACTTAAAATAGTAAAACACTGCGGTTGCTATCCCACGTGCCAAGCGTGGCAACTATGGCAAATATTTTCTATTTTCTTTCCTATGTTCCAGCAGTGGAATTTTGATAGACTGTAATGATGATGATGATCATATTAAACCTCATTACGCACCTAATATAATCGCTAAGAATGTAACTCAGTTCATTTACGAGTTCAGTTACGAGTTGGTTAGGGTGAATGATCTCAATGTTAACGCAGACACTTGTGCACTGCACATCTCTTGCGAATTGGATAGCTTCCGACATTATTAAGAAGTGGTCTTTATGAAGAGATTTAAGAGGACATCAGCGTCGGAGAATTGATACAGTTTTCACTAGATGGTAGGTTGGAGGGCTTGTTTCCTGCCTAGAAGTCCGTCCAAGTAATTACTACCTTGTTACCTATTTCTGCAGAGCCACGCTGCAGCTATATAGTGTGGCTCGACTGGGGAAGAACCACACTCTCACAAAATACCAGCGTAAAATAGCAGCTTAATACTGCTGTGTTTCGTATAGTGAGTGTAGAGATCCGGACCCTTTTTTACTGGAAACAAGGCATTCCATCTTTGTCCACAGAGGTGACAACGCATCTGATTTTTGATTCTTAATCGAGGATAAATATAGATGTCTATGGGTCACAGCATCCACTTACCATCAGGTGGACTGTGTGCTCGTTTGTCACCCTTATTCTATAAAAAATAATTCCACCTTAGCAGATATGGTAACGCATTTGTAGCCATCTCCGTTTGAAGTGTGTGGCAGGTGTTCACGGACTACAATAGTCGCTTACCATCAAGTGAATTGTAAGTTCATTTGCTACATCAATTTTATATAAAAATAAAACTACATTGACTTTTTCTTTTGCATCTTAAACTCTACCGCTGGTTATTGACATCTCCCGATGTAAAGAGTCTCACTCCTTTAATGATGAGATGGTAGTACCACCTTCGAAATGAGGTGATGTTGAAGAAACGGGTTGATGAATTATCTCTCAACACCACAATCAGGTCAACACTGAGGTTCAACATGTATGAGGAAGGTTGTGGCAGCGACACTGATTGATATTGAACCTACATGTGAGATTCGGTGTTACTACACTCTGTCTAGAGACTCGACTTTCTTGTGCCTGGTTTGACCCATCCTTTACATTAGTTTCATGCCATTTTTTTGATTGAATAATATAACAAATAAATCATAGATCAGCTTTTTAAACATCAAAGAAAATGAAGTAGCATCGTTTATGTTTTCAAAGAGTCTCACTCTCTGTACCATATTACTCATTTATGAAACTATACTAGAAATATTCTTAGAATAATATTTCTTGAAATTTTTAAAAACATTATTGATTTTTATAAGAGCTTTCATCATATCCAACTGATATTATCGTAGTGTTAGTGGTTGTATCAGTAATCAGATAATCATTTTCATTAAAAAGAATGAAGAAGTGAGCCATAAATTATGACTAATTTTTTTTATTTGAAATTACCATATGAATACCAAATTAATCGTTGACAATTGACTCAGAAAAATCAGTTTAGTCTGAGTTAATAGAGCAAATTAGATCTTCATAAGCACAATATTGATATCTGTATAGAGAAAGGCATGACTGATGCCTCCGGGACGTAAGTCGGCCGCACCGTGTTTTACCGGATAATTTCAAGTCATCAATTTGTTCTACCGCACAATAAAAGATTTCCCTTGAGGGAAACTGACCTTCCTCTATGGGTTATAAGGTTGTGGGATTGTTGATACGTCGATTTATGGAGATTTGAGGTCGATTTAAGGTCGTAGTTGATACTATTTCAGGTAGAGATAATATTTTAAATTACGATTGCCTGGCGACTTAGTAATGTATGTATAGATGTCGTAGGATAATTAGATAAACCGAATTTTCCGCAAAAATTTAGACATAGTACGAGACATAATAGGACAAATTACGAGACGTATGTTTCTATATATTTTTTATTATTTAGACTATTATATTACTATTAGACTTATTATTGACTATTCAAGATTTCTTGTTTTTTGTTAAGTATATCCAGAAAATATTTTGAGTTTGTCAGTACCATAGTATATATTACATACAAAATTTGCACTTGGACAAACATCATAACCTGAATCTATTAGAATACAAATAAAATATGTGTTCTGTAGAGGATATAAACCTGCGACCCCTACTACCATAGCCACTAGCTATCGAGCCGTCATCATTTCTGTACCTTTTTTGACATTTGCCTACTATCATGTTCTTGATATACTGCAGAAGTGAAAGGCAGAGTCGTCAAAAGACACCCTAGACAGACTTGATCAAACCAAATTTTTAATATATTTAAAATGAGCCGAATTAAGCGCACCCTTAAGGGGAAATATAACCTCAAATGGCTTAGCAAGTTCCTCCGTTATGCCGAAAATATTCCAACATTAATTTTGAAATAAATATATGGTAAAGTTGAGGATTAATGTTAAGGACTATGTTAGACGAAAACACGATTCCGTAAAATTTTCTCGATAGAACAAAAATCCAAAGTTACCTCCAAAATAAACAATAAACCGCTGTTATTCATAAAATACTTTAAATAAGATCATGAAACTTTGCATACTAACTGAACTAACTATAAAGCAGTGCTCATGTTATTTACTTTTTTTTAAATACCATTATTTTCACTGTAAAAAGAAATTACCTAAACTATCGGCTTCTTGAAGCTTGATTCCTGCCGCCTGGTCAGTTTCGCTTCGGTCTTTGAAGGGGGGTTGTGTCGCTTACGATCAGAATACACATTTACGCAACAGGACGACGTAAAATTAAAATGAGAAATAACCGTAATAAAAATAAGAAGCGTTGTTGGCGTTAAGAAACAGGCATAAATATGATAAACCTAATGAAATAAGTATCTAACATATCTACTTAAGTATAGTGATTACAAACATGTCGGTACATAGCATACGACGCGCGGGGAAGTGGGGGCGAAATTAGAATTTGAGCTGACTTACTATATCCTCTTAACCGACGAGCATGTATGCGTAGATTATGGATGTGCAAGAAGCAAGAAAGAGGTGTGCCAAATTGAAGTCCGTAGTCTTTGTGGCAGGCGTGTAAGTTTATGTATATATGTTTAAAATATGAACACAGGCCTCTTTCATAGATTGCATAATTGTAAAATATACCCCAGATTTGCCATAGTTATCACGCTTGGCATTTTATTTTAATTTTTTTAGTTGTTATTAGGAAGTTCATACTGACCAGCCTTTGTTTCATTTCCCTCTGTCGCATCTTAGACAGCCTTTGTTTCATTTCCCTCTGTCGCATCTTAGACAGCCTTTGTTTCATTTCGCACCTCCCTGTCGCATCTTAGACAGCCTTTGTTTCATTTCTGTGATCCTCTGTCGCATCTTAGACAGCCTTTGTTTCATTTCCCTCTGTCGCATCTTAGACAGCCTTTGTTTCATTTCCCCCTGTCGCATCTTAGACAGCCTTTGTTTCATTTCCCTCTGTCGCATCTTAGACAGCCTTTGTTTCATTTCCCTCTGTCGCATCTTAGACAGCCTTTGTTTCATTTCCCTCTGTCGAATCTTAGACAGCCTTTGTTTCATTTCCCTCTGTCGCATCTTAGACAGCCTTTGTTTCATTTCCTTCTGTCGCATCTTAGACAGACTTTGTTTCATTTCCCTCTGTCGCATCTTAGGCAGCCTTTGTTTCATTTCCCTCTGTCGCATCTTAGACAGCCACGGGATAATATGGGCTGATGATGGTGGTTGTCTCACACCGCCACTACGCGGCTTAAACGATATGCCATTTATCAAACAAGATTCCTACGTACAATTTTATTGTAAGTATATGTGTAATCACAGTTCAAAAAGTTAAAGTTACAGCCTACATACCTCTCACTCCTCAATTTCATTGGTGTCGGCGGGGTTCGAATCAGGTTTTGCTCGTGTACTGTGAAATTTACAACGAGCGCTAACCGTCTGAGCTACCACTATGAATAGTAGGAACAGTTAATTAATTAGACGTGAAAGATCTACGCTGCAGCTGTATAATATAAACATAATGTATAATATAATAGGTATATAGCAGCACGAATGGACAGACTCTACCAGGGAAGTACCCCAACTCTAGAGTAACAATAGCCAGTATTGTTACTCTAGAGTTGGGGTCCTTGAGAGAAAGAAACGTAAACGAAGTTAGTGTAACAGTATTATGGTATTCTTTAATGTAATATTGCCCTATCACAGTTCTTGGACGATGATATAAAAGCTCTATTTATAAATGTTTCCTCGAAGCTCTATCACAGAATACCAGCGTAAAAATGGCGAGTGTGGAGAACCTATGACCGTTTTTAACTAGTAAAGATGCATCTCATCTGGATGAATTGATCACAGCATTCATTTGCCACCAGATGAACTGTGGGCTCGTTTGTCATTCTTACTTCTATAAACAAATCTAGATGCTATATTTTTATAATAGATTCGTTGTGAAATATGTAGATAAATGTGCCCGTTACACAAGGACAACGTTGTGTAACGGGTTCGATCTTTCTTAATCCAGATTTCATGTTTTGAAGTTTTTACTATTTACTGCTTTTAAAGTATTTCCCGTTTTTAACTGGATATAGTATTAGAATGTGTAGTGTACTTTGTAAGTTGGTGAGTTGTTTCATTTCGCATATCGCGAGAGCACCTATCTAAAGATATCAAATCCAAACCTGTTTTGTTCCACGTGATTCGTCATCATCATTACAGCCCTTCGCAAGTCCATTCTTGAACAAAGACCTCCCTCAAGGAATGCCACAAACACGGTCCTGAGCCACCTGCATCCATCAACTTCCTGAATGTCTTAAGGTCGTCACTCCATCTAGTGGGGGGCCGCCCCACACTTCGCCTACCGGTACGAGGCTGCCACTCGAGATCCTTTAGTGACTCAGTATTTATTAAATCTGAACCCGAGTTAGTAATTTTTTTATTTTAATTAATTAAAATTATAATATTTACAATAAATACTAATTATACGAAAAAAAAAGAAAAACTAACACTAAAAATTTTAATTGTCAAAAAGTCCTGCTCCCCGTGGCGCTGACTGCGTTTTCTCGCTGTTCTAATTTTAAATTTTAATTTAATTTAAATTCTAATTTATATGAATTAAAAAATAATTGAATATAAAAATTAATACTTAATAAACTCTATGGAAACAAGTGGTAAAATTAAAAATTTTGCACAACCGACTTTCAACATAATCAAAATGAGAACATGATCAATGTATTCGAAGTCATTTAAATACACATTATTAAAGACAATTCAAAAACTACTGGTCAGATCTTGATTAAATTCATTACGGGCCACACAAGAAGCAAGAAGCTTTTAGATATAAAAGGAATCATCAAAATCGGTTCACCCAGATAATGAGGTAACACACATAAAAAAACGTACAGTCGAATTGAATACCTCCTTTTGAAGTCGGTTAAACCGATACTTATTTGTCAATTGGGAAAATCGATTTGCAACAATTTTAATATTTATATTTTATTTTGTTCTTTTAGAGAATTAATGTATAACATTATTTTATTGTATTGTTTTTAAAGCTTCTATGATGTTTGTTACTGTTTATACGAGTATGTATTTTAACACAACTTTGCTTTGACCATAACAAAATAAACATATGTTGAGTAAAATAAACAAGTGAATATTAGAAAAAAGATTATTTGTATTTATTGCTCCAAAACAGTCTTATATCTAATATTAAACTATAAACTTATTTTAAGCTTTACACAAATAAAACGAACATTTCTTCTACTTTAATTTTCCAATGTTGATAATATTAAAATCGTTATAAGTGAATGCAACTAGTTTTTACGGACTCAGTTAAATCTAATACATTGGGAATGGAATCGGCCATTGTTGTCATATTATAATTTTATGTAATTGCATTTGTATTTCATAACAAGAAATATAAGGAATTACTTAGGCTGGAATATTTACATTAGAATTTTATAAGGGTAACATAGATCATTTCTAAATTATCAACACTATAATATGCAAATATCCCTTTTGTATATATCAATAAATACCACTAAGATTTTGGACGTCTGATGAGATGCAACGTTTAAAAAAAGGATATTGCTATAATATTTGACAACTTTATTATAAAAATCTTTGTTTGCCTGTTGAAAACGACCATTATAAATTGTAATTATTTCATTTTTATTATTATCCTCTGTTCCTCTTGTTGTCCTTTATTATTGTCCTCTGCTGAAAATTGACCTACCCCATAAATTGCCCCTTTGAAAATGGCGGGGATACCCTTGGTGGGCGGTCTGATACCGCTGTTTTTCAATTCTTTATTTATCAGGAAAAATCTGCTGAAACAATTCGGGGTATTCTCTTGCTTCTACACAGTATTTTTTATTATAACCGTATTATATTAGAGTGGAACTGTATCCATACCTTGTATTATTTAACAAAGCTTTGGAAAGTTAAAACTTATAGCAACCCCATAATTGAAATTCATCAGCAATTAAAGCTATAAAAATTATGTAAATCAAACTTAAATAATATTATAGACACTATATTATTATAATAGCAAGTAGCTTTAAATTGTTGTAAGAACAATGGCATACAACACCAAAGCAATATAAAATAATATCACAATTTATAGTCACAGTTACAAACTATATACACTGTGATGTTTAGTATCGATACATATAACATATTTTGTTGTATCTTTTCAACAGAAATATTACAAGCTAATGTTTTGGCGGAAACACATAAAAAGACAGCTGAACAGACAATGATATTAGATAAAATTTAAAAAAATATTTTTGAAATGTAAAAACCTTGATAATTATTGAAACTGTTTTTATGCATCGATACCATACAATCCCAGGTGAATTAAACTAACATAAATACAAAATGGTACATTTTACAAATCCTATTGCTAATATCAAAACACTATAAAATACACTTCACAATCAAACTTGTGTTGAACGGCATGTTGGAGTTGCGCGTATATTTGTTTAAAAAATTACGTCGTCGCTTATGATAGAGTGCACGTGTTTTGTGTTTTGTTAACGGAATAGTGACTTCAGTTAAATAACAAACGGACAGCTGCACGAACAGTCTGCTTGGAGAACAATTCTAAAAGCAATGTCGTCAATATGTTTAAGATGGAAAAGTTTGCTTCTGATAAGCATGTTATACTTAGATCACGATCTGTTACATTGATTGCGTTTGGTATAATCAAGCAATACTATATTTTCTTTAATGCGCAACTTTCTAATGTTCCTTATAGTATTTACTATAACTTAAATCTACTAATTTAATAGTAATTTTCTTAAACTATATTTATAAACATTCTTAATTAAATCGCCAATGAGCACTTACTACATTTAAGGAAATGCAATAAATTGAGCAACTTAAACCAAAAAAAAAAAACTGTAATCTATTGTTTAACTTTTTGACGAAAATATGTTGAGAAATTTCGTCTTTATGTTCAATAACGTCGTAAGAGATCTCTTCACTTTCTTCTTTGGCATTCTTTCCGGGCAAAGAAACGGTTCTGAATATGATTTCTGTAAACCTGAATGTACCGGCAAGTCTGGTTCCTTAGGGATTTGATACTTGTACTCCTTGACGACTTTTTCTTCCGTTGGATCGTATCTGTACAGGACTGAATATGTTCGCTTGACTTTTTTGTTCACTCGAGGAACATTAGCAGTTCTGTCGCTCTTGCAACGTTTCACCTTGTTCCTTCCATAATAATCTTGATAATGCTCTGCATCAACGTAAATAATTCGTTTGCCTAAAGCCAGTTCTCTCTCCTTTTTTAAACTCTTCCATGAAGCAATGACGGATTCACGACGAAATGTTTTGTTAGGATTGTGACGGCTTATGCAGAAAGAGTGCTCCTCTTGAATGTTGGAAGTATCTTTCAGAGGTGATCCTCTTGGACTCGGGCTGTAGTCAATCTCGTAGTCGTCTCTCGACACCTGGAACGAAACAAATCCTTGAGAATAAGAAATTAAGGTTACATTCGGATATAGACATAAATCCTCGTCTATCTTTGGATCTATTCCGACAAATGATGATAGATCGTCCAGATTATTACAAGATGTAAATAACGTTATCAATGTGCGTGACTTGGATGCGTAATACTAAATTCACTCTATCTCTTTCTACCACCTCAGTAACATATTCTATCTCTATCTGGTATTTCAGTCATTGGAGCCCTTCGCACGATGCCCACATGTCTGATAACACCTGTCGCCCAAGACATATGTTCTAGTCGCTGGAAACTTGGCAATATTACCTGAACCCGCTGTTTAATTATTATTACATTCGACAGTGTCAGGGAATTTCATATTAAAAAGAAAGAATAATGCGTCAAGGTATCTATATCCTGACTTCTATAAGCAAACGCAAACGTGATAGTTGATATCACTTTTAGAAATGTATTTAGGTCGATGTAGGTTTTACGAAATGAGATTTAAATGATTTTTAGATCGCCCTTCGAAAACACTTATTGATTGTAAAATTTTGTGTATACGACTCTATAAAATTTCATAACATTTAAACAATTTTATACGTTCTGTCCTGTTTGATTTTATTTAATTTTATTATAGTTTCACAAATCTTACTATGATATAGATATAGTAACTGACAATAAAATGGGACACTTTGAAACTGTT